GCGCGGCGTGCGTGCGGGCGGGCGGGAGGGCGTGTCCGTGACCGGCGGCTGCCGGGCGGCTGGCGTGGCGTCACCTCTTTCGTCATCTTCGTCATTCTGCTCCTGCGTTCGGGGGTCGGGCAGGCCGGCCCTGGGCGCCCCCTAGTCTTCCGAGCCTGCGGTGGGCGGCCGACCAGTGCCACCCGCGCTCCCCGATGGCCGCCGGTGGCATCTGCCAGATGGGTAGGGGCAGGGGCCGCCGAGCGAGTGGCAGCCCTGTGAGGGGCGAGGAGAGCGGAGCCTGGCCCGCAGCGGGGATCCCAAGGGTCGGTGCTGTTGGCAAGGGGGTGCCCAGTGCCCAGGCACCGCATGGGGCCCTCAGCGCGGGGCGTGCACCCGCACCCAGTGACCCTCGAGAGACCTGCTCTATGCTGGACACAGGAGGGCTTAGTGTTGGCCAGACCGCTGCAAACTGAAACATCTGCCTGAATCCTATCCTGGACAGGCCACGCTGCACTTTACTGCAAAATGTTAACTAAGGACATACCAATATATAACCTAAGATAGGCTATGAAATTTGCATAATTTTATAATATAAAGCTATAAAGGAAGGGCTGCTCAATAACGCTTTCTGGTGCAAGACCTCGTACAGTTTAGACACATGCTTTGGACTTCTTGGGTGTACAAACCACGTGTGTGTGACATAATACGTATAGGGGGCGGTTAAGCAATTTGTTTTGCCCTTTAAATTTTCTTCCCCGCCCCCAATCCCTACACTACAGCCCCAGAGCTTCATGGGAGGAAATAAATACAAACTGGATCCCTTTCAGCCTTCCAGTAAATGTTGTCACAGTCCAGTTGCATCAGTCTGTGGGCAGCATTTTTTTTTTTTTTAAGTCAAGATCATATTTCAACCAACCAGCTGCAGGGTCAGACTATGAAAAGACCACATAGGTATTTCCTGTGGCTCGGTTTAGAACAGGTGCTCCCTCCAAGTCGTCTGTGAGTCAGAGGATGTGGAGCGAAGGGCAGCAGGGAAAGTCCAGTGCCCCAGGTAAAGACAAAGCAGCGGACCAGAATGTTCTCCAGAATTTTTCCAACCAAGCTCTGAACCCAACTTTTTTTTAATTCACAATATTTTTGATTGGCATAATTGTGCTAATGGAAATTGAAGGTATGAGACGATTTTATCAACGTAAAACTATTCTCCATTGATAATTTATAGTCATATTGCCAAGAAAAGTTGAATTTATGTATGTGTCCTTGCTAGTATTCATAAGATAGCAAAACAAAAGAGAGGATTTGTTGAAGATCTATCTTACTAAGAGCTTAATAAAATTTAATGCATTAATTTATTTAAAAGTTGCATAGATCTTTCCTAGTTTAGATTTTAGAAAAATCATAAATAAACCTCCCTGCCCCTGTCATTACAAAGTCAAATAATAATTTCATATTATTTAAATTCTTCCTACAGTTTCTTTTAAGGTAAATACTGCAGTAGTTGAATAAGTTGTTCTAAACCTGATCTAATAGTTTTCTTTTGTCGGTTTTGTGGTTTGCTAACTATAATTTTTTAAAAATGGAACATTTGCATAAACCTCGACTCAAATACTATTTGCTGAGAATGTCAATCTACTATGTTTACAATTTCTTTCTAAACTTTCCAGAGTTGCTCTCTTTGTTTTTAAGCCATATCTGACAATCTTGGTCATGTTTTACAACTATTTCCTATAAAATCTATACATACTATATTTTACTGTTGTAAATAATTATTCACTTGGGGTTACATGTTGATTTAGACAACATAGTTTTCATTGTGTAGAAGAAAAATATGCATGTCACTCTTTAACTTTTAGATTCTACTAGACAATTGAAGAGATAGAGAGAAATGTCTCGTCTAGCTATTTCATGGATACCAGAAACATGAAAAATATCCAGGAAATATTTCAAAACCCTTTTTTAATTTCTATTGGTGTTCATGCTCTTAGACATAAAAGCTAAAGATATTTTTTTCTTAATTCAAAAAACTGATGTAAACTTCATTCTTCTTTAAAAGATTGTTTCAGATTGGCTTTTGGTGTTGGGTGTTTGGTTTAGTTTTTTAAGGTACAGAATGTCCGACATACTGGTGAGAATATGTGCTAATTTTGGAAATGACAAGGACCCCTGTGTCTCCCTTATGCTGTAGTCCGACAGGCCAACTTCAGGGGACTGCAGGCCTTTGCTTTAAAATTTAGGAAGAAGAAATCTGTTTGTGTACCATTTTATAATATTCAATATCACTCATTTCCTTAGGTTCTGTATTTCCATTAAGTAATCATGTTATCATAATATCCATAAACTTGAACAGATCATTTCTTCTCCTTTCGCATTTCTCTGCACACAAGGGTGACAGTGGGACCACGTCCCTTTCGGGGGCTTAATGGGAAAAATCCTCTCAGTATTGCAACCTTTGAGTTGTTTATTTTTCCTTCACTACAAAAGTAGCATGTTTAAAATATAAAAATAGGAAAAAGTTAAAACCTACTGTTAGCTCCACCAGGGAAAACACTGAATATTTTAGCAGATTTCTGTTAGTCTTTCTACAGCGTATACTTAGTTAGATGTGAATGTGCAATTTGCATCACATGACTGTCTTAAATTTAATATGAACTTTTCC